ACAATAATGGTCCTTAATCTTGTGTTTTCTCATAGAAAACACATGATTAATGATGGTTTTAGCCCAAATAATGCCAAGAAATCTACCAGTGTTCGAGTTTGAGTCAGAAAATTTTGAGGCATTTCATTCTTACCTCCCTGTTTTCATCCGTGGTTTCATTTTTTTTATTTTTTCTATTTTGCTCAGAGTTCTTTGTGTTGAGTTAGGGTTTCGATTTAGGGTTCTGATTCTTTTCATAATCATATAGTTTGGTTTTGTTGTTAGTAATTTGATTGTTTGACTTAATTTCAGCATTAGGGTTTCATGTTTAGCTATTGTTTGGCATTTTCTGATTTTATTAGTTTCAGCTTCGAATGTTTGATTTTAATTGATTAGTTTATTGTTGTATCAGTTTAATGGTACATTTAGTCTTAGAATTCCTATCATTTACAGTTAAATTTTCATTTGATTAGCTAGATTAGTTAGTTCAGATTTTAATCGTTTGTTTGGTTATAGCTGATTAATTTCTAGTTATAGTTAATTAACCATGGGTAGTCTGACTAGGGTAAAAGGGGGCTGGGGTTTGGTTTGGCTATGGTAGTAATTTAAAATCCAAATTAAGGGTAGTTTAGGTATTTTACCTAAAGAATCTGTTAGTTAGAAACACCTAGAGTCTTCTAGATAGGGTTCGAAGTAGAATTTTAAGAAACCTAAGGCAGTAACTTGAGAAAGAAGTCAGGAAATAAAGGACTAAGTGAGTAAAACTAAAAATTAAAAGAGGGACTAAGGTGTAAAGTTGAAAATCTGAAAGAGCCTTAGGCTTTGCCTATAAAAAGGCATGCTTGGTACCTTCATTGGCAAGTTTTAATCTCTGAATATTCCCCCCAAATGTCCAGAAGTCTTCACAAGCTGAAGATTTGAATTTCGAATCCAAATTTAGATCTAGATCTTCAAAAACCAAAAACCGAAAAAAAACAATAGAAAATTCCAAAAAAAGGTACTGTTACATTGAGTGTTCTTAGATTAATTTCAAGTACTAGCTTCATAGTCGAATTTCTAGCCTAGATAAATATGAAAACGACTTGAGAATTCCTTGTGTCTGGTTGCTGAAACTTCAGAAGTGTTCCTGGGTTAATTTCGAGTGGGGTTTGGGTTCAACCAAGTTATTTTTGGTCATTTGTTGGTGCTGTGTTTCTACAATTCATTTCTGGGCTGATTTTGATAGCATTTGTTTGGGCTGTGAACTCGATTTTGAGCTGTTGCTGATCATCTGATTACTGCTATTGATTCCTCACTTATTTTACATTCTACTTTCCAGGTACATATCCTGTATCTCTCGGATTTCGGGAATGGAGTGAAGTGATGTTTGTTTTTCTTCTGTTGAATTCTCTATTGAATTGTAATTAATTTCAGCACTCTATCATATTTTAATATGTAGTTGATTGAGGACTGTTTATCAGTATTATGACTGCTGGCATTACAATATTCATGTGAAACAGCTTATCATAGTTATTATGAGTGTTGTGAATCAATTTTAGACTTATATGAGTGGTAAAATATGATACTAGCTGTAGCTTCATAGTTTTAGCTTGGTTATTATGTCAATTTAAGGTCTGCTTTTGGATTAGGATGCTATTTAAACTGTAGGACATTCTAGTTCAGATTTATAAGTATACTATTAGTTGCAATGTGGATAATGTTTAGCTATTCTGTTAATTTGAAGTTCTAATTGGAAAGAGATAATAGTTTGAGAAGACAGGTTCAAAATAACTTTACATTTCCGTCCACTTCTAGTAACTCATGCTGAAATCGAAATGGCCTAAGAAATGAGTCCCAATCTTGTTAATTTAATCATTGAGTGCATCAAATACTTGTATGAGTACAGTAGTCTAGAATTGAATTGATAGTTGAATTTGAAGTTGGAGTTTTCCTTTATGTGTTATCCCAGTCAATTGCCTGAACCACTTCTATAATTTTTTTTGGGCTTGTTCATAAGCCCAGGGCTGACAGCCCACGCCATTTGTTCGGACTTCACCATTCCTAATGCACGACTTGGTTCAGGCCTGCCTACTCTCCCCAATTGGGCTATTGTTGAGGCCTAGACGAGAACAGTCCACCAAACAAGTTGAGACTACTGTTATGTTATTGGGCCAAGTTCAAAAATTCCACGCTGGAAGCCTGAAGTCGTATTCAAACTGAGATTAATTGTGTAACGTAGGTTTTGGGCCTTCCAAGTGATTGGGCCTTTAGAGACAACCCAATAGAAAACAATAGTTCGCTTTAGGATATCCTCAAATAAAATGAGGTGCGCCGCGCCAAAGAAAATCATACATTGCGTCGCTCTCTTAATCATATTTAAAATATTTTAGACCTCGGAACGAGCCATTTAGCGAATTTCATGGCCTCCCGCAAAGTTAATAATACGCTAGTTGCTTTAGGCCCGGCATTTAATAATATTACCTTCTTAAACTCAGGTGCACATTTATGTGACCCAAATCCAAATCTCAACGAAGTTGAAATGTGTCAAAAACAACGGGTGCATTTATGTGACGTGGTTCGAGACGTGTTTTCACGACATTGCAATTCTCTTTAAAAATAATAATAAAAGCGGTTTAAAAGTTAAAAAGCACATAGGTTAAAACATGTTTTAAAATCAGATATTTAGCCAAATATGACAGTTGGGCGACCGTGCTAAAACCACGGAACTCGGGAATGCCTAACACCTTCTCCCGGGTTAAAGAATTCCTTACTCGGATTTCTGGTTCGCGGATTGTTAAACAGAGTCAATAATTTCCTCGATTCGGGATTCAACCGGTGACTTGGGACACCATTAATCTCCCAAGTGGCGACTCTAAAATTATAATAACCAATCCCGTTTCGATTGTCCTTTAATTGGAAAAACTCCTTTATTACACCCTTCCGGGGGTGTAAGTAAAAAAGGATGTGTGACAGATATAAGGTTAGCAATTTAAGCAAGAAGTCGTACAAAACAATAACTAATAAGAGCAGGAAAATTTAACAGTTACACAGCATCAACCTTCGTGCTTTTACTCTCATTCTCACCAAAAGCAATCAAATAAAGTGCACGGCACCAACCTTCGTGCTTTTCCTTACATAACTCTCGTATCATGGCACGGAATAATCCTTCGTGCAATTGTAATCAAATCAGGGCACGGAATGTTCTTTCGTGCATAAATAATCAAAACATGGCACGGAATGACCCTTCGTGCAAATATAATCAAAACATGGCACGGAATGACACTTCGTGCAAATATAATCAAAACATGGCACGGAATGACCCTTCGTGCAAATATAATCAAGCATGGCACGGAATGTTCCTTCGTGCAATAATAATCAAAACATGGAACAAGTCAAACAATCCCGACAAGGGAGATAATCAATATACTCAAAACGTCCCGGCCAACGCTCCAAGGAGTTTACAACACGATCAATCCTCATCTCTTCACACATAGGATTAGCAGTCAACTAATCCTATTCCCTCAAGCCAAAGTTAGATCAAACACTTACCTCGGTCCAAAGAATAGCAATCAATCCTCAAATACCGCCTTTCCTCTACAATCTGACTCTGAAACAATGATATCTAGGCATAATTAATTCAATAATATCAATAAAGACTCAATGGCAACATCCCATAGCCTAGATATGAATTTCCTAGCATTCCTCCAAAAATACCAAAATTCGACACCGGGCCCACATGGTCCAAACACGAGGCTCGGACCAAAACCCAATCACCCATAACCCCACGAGTTCAAATATGCAATTTGTTTCAAGATTCGACCCCAAATCGAGGTTGAATCACCCAAAATTCTCAAAACTCTAACTCTACCCAAAAGCCTTAATTTCTACTTTGATTTCATGATTTAGGTCTAGGATTTCAGTAATTAATGAAGAAGAGTGAAGGAATTAGGTGGGAAATTACTTATCCAAAGACTTTGGTGAAGAAGAGCTTCAAAAATCGCCCCTAGAGCTTGGAGAAGACAAGTTTTATGAAAGAATGGGAATAATCCCGTAATGGGTCTGTTTTTAGACTTTAAGAATCACTGGACGAATTTGTTCTATGCGTTCGCGACATAAGGGTCGCGTTCGCGAAGTAGGGAAACTGGAAGCACCGCGTTCGCGAGGGAAGGCTGCGAACGCGTAGAGTAAAATTACTAGGGGTCCAAGGTTGGCCTAGGTGAACGCGTACCAAGAGACGCGAACGCGATGGAGGAAACAACAAAGCATCGCGATCGCGATGGCCAGAACGCGAACGCGAAGAAGGGAATTACTGGGGTCCTGAATTTGGCTTACGCGTTCGCGAGGTTTAAGACGCGAACGCGAAGGAGGAATACACAGAGCTACGCGAACGCGAGGGTAAGAGTGCGAACGCGAAGAAGGAAATCCCTGTGCACGAACACCAGATTTTCTGCAACTTTTACTAAGTTCAAAACACCCCGAACCACCTCCGAATCACTCCTGAGCCCTCGGGGCTCCTAACCAACCTCAAAATCATCATTTTTCATTCTAACTTCATAAACTTCAAATTTTAGATATTTAGGTCCGAAACACGTCAAACGACGTCCGATTTCGACCAAACTTACCATAGTCTTTTAATCAATTTTCATTTCTATTTTCCTTAATAATTTCAGAAAAATAATTTCACAGAAAAATTCTTTTCTCGGGCTCTAGACCTCGGATTTTGACTCCGGGCACATGCCCGAGTCCCATATTTTCCTACGGACCCTCCGGGACCGTCAAATCACGGGTCCGGGTCCGTTTACCAAAAATGTTGACCAAAGTCAACTTTAATCATATTAATATCAAAATTCATTAAATTTTCACAGAATTCACATTTAAGCTTTCCAGCTACGCGCCCGGACTGCGCATGCAAATCGAGGTGACTAAAAGTGAGGTGTTCAAGGCCTCAGAAGCACGGAATAAATGAGGAAACAGGTGATGACCCTTTGGGTCGTCACAACATTGGAACTAAACCCGTCACTGTTATGTTTTTGAAGCATTAAATGACTGGGCAAAAATGCCCTATGCGTTCGCAACACAGGGTCGCGTTCGCGAAGAAGGGGGAGCTGGCAAGAATTCGTTCGCGAGAGGGGGATGCGAATGCGTAGGGTAAAATACTGGGGTCCAGGGAATTGGCCTATGCGAACGCGATAGGGGATACGCGAACGCATTGAATGAAAGACTGGAACTACGCGAACGCGTGAAGGCCTTGCGAACGCGAAGAGGAAGTTGCTGGGCTCCTGATTTTGGCTTACGCGTTCGCGATGGTGGTGACGCGAACGCTAAGGAGAAAAACACTGAAGCTATGCGAACGCGAGGGTGGAGTGCGAACGCGAAGAAGGAATTCACTGTGCACCAACAGCAGATTTTTCTGCAATTTTCCTAACTCCAAAACCATCCCGAACACCTCCGAAAACACTCCCGAGCCCTCGAGGCTCCTAACCAAACACACACACTAACTCAACAACATCCTACGAACTTAACCGTGCGATCAAATCGCCAAAATAACATCATAAACGAGGAATCAAACCTCAAAATCATCACTTTTCATCAAACTTCTTAAACTTTCATTTTTTTTTTGAGATTTAGGTGCGAAACACGTCAAATGACTTCCGATTTCAACCAAATTTCACAGAAAGCGCTTAAACCATATATAAGACTTGTACCGGGCGTCGGAACCAAAATACGAGCCCGATACCACAGTCTTCTAATCAAATTTCATTTCCAATTTCCTTAATAAATTCAGAAAAACAATTTCTTTTAAAAATTTATTTCTTGGGCTCGGGACCTCGGATTTCGATTCCGGGCATACGCCCGAGTCCCATATTTTTCCACGGACCCCCGGGACCGTCCAATCACGGGTCCGGGCCCATTTACCCAAATGTTGACCAAAGTCAACTTTAATCATATTAATATCAAAATTCATCATTTTTCACACAGAATTCATATTTAAGCTTTCCGGCTACGCATCCGGACTGCGCATGCAAATCGAGGCAACTAAAAATGAGGTTTTCAAGGCCTCAAAAGCACGGAATGAATGAGAAAAATAGGTGATGACCCTTTGGGTCGTCATATTTTCCACCTCTAAAACGATTGTTCGTCCTCAAACGGACAAAAGAAAGAAGTACCTGAGTCGGGAAAAAGATGAGGATAACGGCTCCGCATATCAGACTCGGACTCCCAGGTCGATGCCTCAGGGGGCTGACCTCTCCACTGAACACGAACAGAGGGAAAACTCTTGGATCTCAACTGACGAACCTGCCGGTCTAGAATAGCTACCGGCTCCTCCTCATAAGATAAATGCTTGTCCAACTGGACAGTGCTGAAATCTAACACGTGGGCTGGATCGCCGTGATACCTCCGAAGCATGGACACATGAAACACTGGATGCACGGCTGACAAGCTAGGCGGCAAGGCAAGTCTATAAGCCACCTCTCCCACACGATCGAGAATCTCAAATGGACCAATCAACCTAGGGCTAAGCTTGCCCTTCTTCCCAAATCTCATCACGCCCTTTATAGGCGACACTCGGAGCAATACTCGCTCACCAACCATGAAAGCCACGTCTCGAACCTTGCGATCTGCATAACTCTTCTGCCTGGACTGAGCGGTCCGAAGCCTATCCTGAATGATCTTGACCTTATCCAAGGCCTTCTGAACTAAATCTGTACCCAATAACCGAGCCTCTCCCAGCTCAAACCATCCAACTGGAGACCGACATCGCCTACCATACAATGCCTCATATGGAGCCATCTGAATGCTGGACTGGTAGCTGTTGTTGTAGGCGAACTCTGCTAAAGGCAAAAACTGGTCCCACGAGCCTCCAAAATCAATGACACAGGCTCGGAGCATATCCTCTAGAATCTGAATAGTCCTCTCGGATTGATCTGAGAAAGGCCTATGATACAGTGGAATGGGATTTTGTTCGTGAGATGCTTCATGCCTTAAATTTCCCACACAGATTCATCCAATGGATTATGCAGTGTATTACAACTACTAGGTACTCAATTGCACTTAATGGAGGAGTATATGGGAACATTGAAGGGAAAAGGGGATTGCGACAAGGAGACCCAATTTCACCCTCAATATTTGTCATCTGCGTGGAGTATTTTACAAGGATCATGTAGCAAGTATCTATATGCAGGGGTTTGATTTTCATACAAAGTGTAGAGGGCTAAAACTGAACCATTTGTGTTTTACTGATGATGTGTTGCTGTTCTGCAAAGGAGAAATGACATCAGTGTTGTTGATGCTGAGGGGATTGGCTGCATTTTCAGAAGCTACAGGACTGAAAACTAATGAAGCTAAATCAAACATATATAGTGCAAACATGAATGAGCATGACCTGGCTGACTTATGTGAAATAATTGGATATAAAAGAGGTGCCCTGCCTTTTAGATATCTGGGAGTGCCAATTTCAGCAAAGAAGATTTCAAGTGTGGACTGTGAAATGCTGGTAGATAAAATATGTGCTAGAATCAAGAGCTGGGGATCAAGGAACTTATCCTATGCTGAGAGAGTGATGCTAATAAACTCAGTGTTACTACATATCCATATATACTGGTCCTCCGTTTTTCTTCTTCCAAAGAAGGTAATAAAAAACATTACTGCTATCTGTAGGAATTTTCTATGGGATGGGAAGGTTAATACAAATAGAGTGCCACTAGTCGCATGCGATCTTATATGCAGGCTTAAAATAGAGGGGGGACTTGGGATTATTGACTGTGAAACTTGGAATCAAGCTGCTATAGCCAAATATGTATGGAATATAGCTAAGAAAGTTGATAACTTGTGGGTGCAATGGGTAGATCACATATACTTGAAGAAGAAGGATTGGTGGCTATACAAACCACCTCAGGATTGTAATTGGTACTGGAGGAAAATATGCTCAATCAGAGATCAATTTGCTACAGGATATGTCCAACAAGACTGGTTGGCAATTAATGGGAAATACACAATAAATAATGGCTACAACTGGAAACAGGGGAGAAGAGAGAAATGGGAGAGTAGTAGATAGGTGTGGAGCAATAACAACATCCCAAAGCATAGCTTCATCTGTTGGTTAGCTATGCACAGAAAACTCCAGACAAGAGAAAAGCTGGCCAAACTGGGGATATGCCAAGAGGTCCACTGTGTTACATGTGGGGAGGAAGCAGAAACAATAGAACATATATTCTTTGAATGCAATTATTCGAAGGCTTGTATAAAAGAGATACTGGAATGGCTAAATATAGGAGTACAACAATACAAAATGGAAGGGCTGTGGAGAAGAATGACAAGGAAAATACGAGGCAAAGCTTGTAGCACAATCATCAGCATTGTTCTTGCAGATACTATGTATCACTTATGGAAAGTCAGAAATGATGCACTGTGGAACTTAAAAGTCCCAAGACTTCTTGCAGCTACTATGTATCACTTATGGAAAGTCAGAAATGATGCACTGTGGAACTTAAAAGTCCCAAGACCACAGAAGGTTGCAAGGAATGTGCAGGAGGAATGCAGGACGAAAATGCAGATAATCATGGAGAAGAAATCAACATCAAAAAGACAGAGACTATGGATAAAAAACTTACTGTAAATACTAAAGAAGTAGATGGATAACTATGTTGTAATAGAATAGAATAGAAATAGAGGAAGCAGTAAAGTAAGGGAGGAACTAAATGTATATTTGAGCATGTTTGTGGTGATTAATAAAGATTGTCTCTTTCACCAAAAAAAAAATATTTCATTTTTACTTGTTTGCATGTACCACTTTGTAACATTTGCGAAGCACTTGACATGTTCCTTGAATCTAGAAATTCATCACCTTTTAATTTTATCCACAATCAACTCCTTGGTTTTCTACTTTCATCTAAGGAGAATAAACGGTTAATATAGCAGATTTTTTCTTGCAGGAGATACTGTCAAAGTACACAAATGAGGATGAACAGCGCAGGAGGTTTGAGACATATAATTTTAACAGCTCATTGCTGCATTTAAAGACCATCAAGATCATTAACTTTGATGGACTACGTGATAATAAGTCTATACAACCATTGGTGAAATATTTTCTCAAGCATGCAACAGTGCTAGAAAAGTTCGTCATAGCCGCCACATACAAAAGCAGTGATGTGTCTCGGTTTTATGTTAAAATGGAGCAGGAGTTCCTAAGCTTTCCAAGATCCTCTTCGCATGCTTCATTTGTCTTTTCTTATTCATGACTTTTGGCCTCTCTCAATTTAATCGATTGCGACATACTTAATAGCTGTTACTTTTTGTTTGAAACTGGTTTTTGGTAGCTTATAGAGAATATTAAGATTGTACTTGTCCTTGTCGAAGGATTTGTTAGTAGCTCTTGATGTTCAAGTCATAGCGTGCGAAAGCTTGCTCTAAATGTTTTATGATTTCTATTATTTTGGCTGAATGCTGATCTTATTTTAGTTTGGTATTTTGCAACTGAAAATCAAGACATGGGTATGGGGGCATTAAATTAATGGTACACAAAGTTTTGGTCTAATATTACTTTTTCCATTACGTAAACAAAGTTTTGTTTTTCGGGTTTTCCTTGAGTGAGTCCTAACTGAATTCCAATTGAAGGGTAATTTAAACAACAAAATTGAAATTTTTTTCAAGAATAATTTGGACACTATTTATTTTATACGTGAGCATCGTTAACGTCAACGACGAGATAATTTACTAATGGTACAACATGAATAGACCAAAGTTGTAATGGAGAACAATGTTTCGAATAGTATATGTACAAAATTTGATTTATTTTTCATAAATAAATAGATATGTATATAATAAAAATAGTGACAATAATATTTAGGTCTCTAATATTTATCATAAACAGCCTCTCTGCCCCTCGGGGTAGGGGTAAGGTCTGCGTACATATTACCCTCCCTAGACCCCACTTGTGGGATCATACTGGGTTGTTGTTGTTGTCTAATATTTATCATGACTTTATCTTACCAATAACCTTAAAAAAATACTCCCTATGTTCCAATTTATATGAATCTGTTTGATTGGCCACGGAGTTTAAGAAAAAATGAAGACTTTTGGAATTTGTGGTCCTAAACAACTCAAAAAGGGGTCCACAAGATTTGTGTGGTTATAAAAGCTTCTCACTAAGGATAGAATTGGGAATTTAAGCTAAATTGTTTCCAAATTTAGAAAGGGTTCATTCTTTTTGGAACGGACCAACACATAAACTGGAACGGAGAGAGTACTTTTTATGTTATGCTAAATTTTGAAACTACCGTCAAACTTCTCTATAAGAATATCGTTTGTTGTTATATTTTTTGGCTTTTATAGTGAATAGTTGTCACACACCTATAACAGTATTTGACGTTAATTTAACTATATTTTGGTTGTTATAAACAAAAATTATATGAAAATCAATTTTTTTTTAGTGTTGCACGTAAAAGCAAAGAAAATTATTCAAATATAAATACTCAAAGACATGTAAATTTTACTAATTAAATATTAAAGAAACTTAACACGTTATTAATAGATTCGTAGAAAGTTTAAACTCTAAAGCATACATTTTAAAACTACTTGAAGATTAAATTTTCTTAAGAGTGATGGAAAAACTCCGTAATTATGGATTGTTTCATGGATTTCAGTTTTTTTTACTAATAATATAATGGTCGAATGTCCAAACTTTAAGCGAAATGGTATTTAATAGCTTTCCTTGAAGTAAATCTTCTATCTCAATTCAAGTAGAAAAGATTAGAGATTCTATAGAAAGGTATATTTACAAAGAGCATATTAGTACAAACATTTTATAGTGAATAAATGTTATATAGTATTTGTTATAGCGAGGTATAAGTGTATCTCGTTGAGGCTAAACAAGTTGCCAAACTAACCTGAAGTTGTTTTCCACAAACAACTCCTTGGTTTTTTACTTCCATCTAAGGAGAATAAATGGTTAATATAGCAGATTTTTTCTTGCAGAAGATGTCAAAGTACACAAATGAGGATGAACAGTGCAGGAGGTTTGAGACATATAATTTTAACAGCTCATTGCTACATTTAAAGACCATTAAGATCATTAACTTTGATGGACCACTAAGTGAAAATAAGTCTATACTGCCATATATTAAATATTTTCTCAAGAATGCAACAGTAATAGAAAAGTTCGTCATTGAAGCCAAATTCAGAGGGAGAGATGGGCCTCAGGATTATGTTAAAATGGCACAGGAGTTCCAAAGCTTTCCAAGATCCTCTGCGCAAGCTTTAAATTCTGGCTCCGACTCTGACGACATACCTTGTTGTTACTTTATGTTTGAAACGGGTTTTTGTAGCTTTAATTGCTCTTGATGTCTAAGTCACAACGTGCGAAAGCTTACTCTAAATGTTTTATAATTTCTATTATTTTGTCTTCATGTTTTTATACTATGATATTTTTAGGCTGAAAATCATTTCGCGGAAATAGTATTTCAATATTCATTACATGTCCATGGACTTGTTTATGTTGGCCTCTATTATTTTAGACAAAGCTGAGCTTAAGACACTTGGGCAAGAAAAAGAGGAAGTGGAGATTTCAAGACCAAGTAATGGGTTGAGGCAATAAATAAAGGCTACCTTTGGTCTAATATTACTCTTTCCATTAGCTTCATCATGAATATAACAATACAAAATAACTAATTTTAATTAAACAATTAAAATAAATATTGTTTTGAGATAATAATACAATACGATACAATGATTGAACCTTTTTTAAAGAATAATTCGGACACCATTTATTTTATGCCTGAGTTTCCTGAATGACAATGGAAAATACAAGACAATTTGCTAATGATATGGTATGAACAAATCAAAATTGTAAAGGAGGATAATATTGAGCAATGTCGAATAGTACTTGTGCAAATTTGAACCTTTGTCCCTTCTGGTTTACACTAAGGCCTCATTTGTTTGCACTTAATGCATGTCTGAATCTTAATCATTCAGATCTCAGACATTAAGTGCGTTTGTTTTTAAAGTTTGAATCTTAATTATTCAGATTTTAATCATTAAGAGTGTTTATTTTTTTACTTCACAACCACTTAATGGGTCTGAATAGGTCTGTATGATTAAGATCTATAACAGAGACTTAATTTTATTAAGATGCTATCATATATTCATTATTAACTGCCGCCACCGCTTACCATTATCAACTACCACCATGCCACCACCACCACCATACTCAACCACCACCACGCCACCATCATCCTCAATCATAGCCGCCACCATTATCGACCATCACCACCCACCATCCCCACCACTCTAACCACCATCATTCTCACCCACAATCAACACTCATCCACCCCAACTACCACAACTAACCTCCCTATCACATCAACAACCACAGTGGGCATTGCCCATCATTATAACCTACCACCACACACCCACCTCCCACCCACCACCTTCCTCAATCACAACTACTACCACCACCCGCCATTATTAGCTATCACCACTCACCACCACCATCGTCAATCATAATTGCCACTACTACCAATCACTACTAGCTACTAGCATGAACCACCGCCATCAACCAAAACTACCACCAACCACCGCCTCTAGTCGGCATTCACCCGTTAGCCACACCACCAACAACTATCATATTTTAAAAAATTATATATTTTGTTGATAGAATATTAGATTAGTTAGTATTTCATTTGAATTTTATGTTATTAAATTTCAAATAAAGATAAATTTTATACATTCAGATGTTAAAAATCAAACAACCTTAATTATTTAGTATTCAGATCTTAATAAACATCTTAATATATTTAGATGTGTATTCCGATTCATATGTCTTAATCTTAATACATATCTTGATATTCAGATGTGTATTCAGATTTAGACGTCTTAATCTTAAAAAAAACAAATGAGGCCTAAAAGTAACTTAAGTAGCCCTTGGGGAGTCCGTTTATTATCTAATCGACACTTTTGGGTTAAATATTTATGTCCCTCATATTTATTGTGTCCCCCTTTGTTCGAGTGTGTTGCCCGCTTCACTAGGTTGTTGGCTTACCAAGCACTTGCTCGTTGCAC